GGCCGGACGGGCTAAAAGCCGTCCGGTTTCGCCGGCCGGACGGGTTTTTTTTTTTTACTTTTTGAAAAAAATGCAAGGGGCAAAATTGTCCAAAGGGGGGGCGGTGAATAGCGATTGAGAAAAATAACTATAGCTGAAATAAATCATAAGAGATAAAGAAGATAATAATTTATTATTCTGTAAGGAGTAGTACAAAATCTCATCATAAAAAGAAAAACATAAAATCTACCAAGAAAAAATGTACCAAAATATATATATATATATATAATATTCTAATATAAGAAAAGAGATAAATAATTTCTATAATAATAATATTTTTTTAACAATCAAACATCGTTTAGGCCTCTTTCATAGACTAATGTGACGTTTTTAAAAGAAGGCCAAATCAACAAAAATATCCTCCTTCCTTATTAGTGAGTAAAAAAGATACCATACCAACAATATATTTAGTTGTCCATTACTAAAGAATTAGCCCCGAAAATCCAAGTCCAACCAAATATTCAATTCTTGTATAAACTAAACCATCCCAAAGCAAACGCAAATTATTCCTCTGTTCTCGATTTCTCGAGCCAATTAGTATCCAAAATTCGAATCAACCAAAATGTCACAACCCCTAGATCAAGTGTACCAATATAATCCTGTCATGACGGGTCAACCCGAATCTAATGGCTCGTTTAAGCCGGTTTTCATTGTCCTAGCGGCGATTGTGGTCATATCTGTAGTGGCTTGTGTCCTGGGCCGGATGTGCTACAAGGGAGACGAGCAGCCAGCCGAGGAGAAGGACCAAATAAAATCAAAGGCCAGTAAGGAGAGCCAAGAGTTGGAGTCTAGGCAAAAACCGAGGAGAGATGGGGACATCGAGTCTGGAAAAGGAGCTAAAAATGGAGGAAAAGCTCATAAGTCAAAACATAATACAACCAAATAATGTTTAAGAGGATTTGGATTTACAATTAGGGGTATATATAATTTTATGGTACTGAATTGATAATGATCGTGACATATTGATTCGGTGTTGGCATATATAATTAATATATAATTTAGATATATTTCTTGTGGACAAGAAAAAATTTTGTTAGATCAGTCAGTATTAACTAATGTGTCTAGGGATCGGAGATACTAAGGGGTGCATTTGTTTGTGGTTTCGAGTGACATTTAGATACTTCTTGACATTTGAGATTTTTTGAAAGATTTTCTGATTTTAAAGGAATCTTATGAAATTTTAAGTCTAGAGGTAGGTCTGGAGGTGAGTTTAGAGTGAGATTTTCGTGTATGTTTTTTCCTTACAAATCTCAGTAAATCTTAAAAAGTTTTACCAAATCATAGTCTCAAAAAGTTAAATCCCTCAGGATCTTGTAAGACTTTTTACACTCTCAAATTAATACCTCTGAACTTTTAAAAGTCTTAGTTGTCTAAATTATATACTTCAAAATGTTTGAAGTCTTAAAAAGTACTTAGAAATTTCAATTGAATATATACTCTCATTAATGATAATTAAATACAAATTATAGTTTAAGACCATCTATTTCATTGATCTAGTTGCAATCTTTGAATAAAAAATATATATTTATACTATCAAATATCTTACTTCCACTTCTCTTTTAAAATATTATTTTTTTAATAAAAATATATATTTTTGTGAAAAAGATACTCCCATCTAATAGTTATATCAAAATGGGAGGGTCTTTGTAGGGTTACCGAAGTTTTGGACTGCGGAACTTATCGATTGGAGTATTTGGATGGAACGTGGTTCAACATCAGGTATGCCTGAAATGGATATTAAGTGTCCCTAATGCTTTATGTAAATACTAAAATGCTCTTATATTAAAAAAAAAATATCTAGTGAATATACATGAAAGGTCTTTAAGTATTTCATTCTCAACATTGACCCTAGACATAATTACATATCTCAACTAAACCACCAACTATTCCTAAATTGCGTATGAATTTAATACGCAAAAGGTCTCTGATCAGTTGGATGCGGCCTGATTTTGAGCTCCTCGCCAGTTGAATGCCTTTGGACCTGTAAAAACTCTCACACCGGAAGGGCTTTCCGGTGAAGATGTTGGAGTATACTGTAGTAGCTCGGCCTTTTGTGATTACTCTCAATTCCATTTTAAATTACATGTGTGTGTTTTAGTCAAGTTGATGTTCGTAGTTTATTTACTTATGCGAACATAGTTCCTTTATTTTACATTGTAGATAATGTGGCTGGTTGTGTCGAACAGAAAGATCACATTATCGGCGTCTTGTAAAATATAAATATTTCACGGCCCATACAGAATTGAACTAACTGTCGACAAAGGTTGTAGTGTGAATTTGAATTAGTTGATCTTTGACTACTGAATTACACTAGTGCATCTCGTATGTATTGAACGAACCTACAGGAGGATAAGATTATTTTATATTGCCAAAGTAAATAATCTAGACCTCAGTAATTGTTGCGTTCTCTTAGCCCGTACGACAATAAACGGACATATGTATTCAACACTTACTTATTTAATTTACCAAGGGTGATACCTATTCTGTTAGGTTGACATATTTGGTATTTGGGTAAGTGATGTTGTTTACATGATGTGCCATTAAGATTGTTTACGTTCAATGGGACCTGATCCGCTGGGTTGATGACTTCCTCGAAATGAGCTCAAGAATGATTATTAGGTCAAGTCCGACCTGCAGATTAATTTCTAACATAATAATGAAGTATTCAGTGGTACTATTTTCAGTTCAAGAAATTATTTAATTATATTGCCAGTAATTAAATTAATCAATGGATATTATATTTTAAACATGTGGAGGTATATCGAGCAATTAGTCGAGAGACGAATTAATTGTTATTCCGAGCTAAATCAATAATATTACTCTAGTGGAATATTTTGTTATTTATTCAAATAAGAAATAGGAATTAAAAGGTCTTCTAAAATATTAACAATTAGAAGTATTTAATGTCTTATAGAATGTTACCATGTCGGAAGACATAAAGGTCTTCTAGAAGGTTAACTAAGTTGAAAGGCATTATCACTTCTAGAAGGTTAATGAGTTGGAAGACATAAAGTTTCCTAATACTATTTGGAGAAGTCCATATTTAGCACATTCTTAGGTTCTCTATTGTAGCCTATAAATATACCAAGTACCATAGACTTCAAAGAATAACTTCTACACGCCTCATACATCATCTCACATGCATATATCAGATTATTCACGCCAAAATCAGATTTCCATACGTCCAAAATAGTGTAGAAAATAGAGTTCTTCTGTTGAGAAAATTCAGATTAAACCGAGAGGTCTTAAGAAAAGAAAATAGAGAGACTTTAGGAGTTCCAATTGACCGCTCCACCAAGATTGATTGGAGATGGTGTAAAGGTCATACAATAGAAGATCCAAGGTTATGTATTTAAATATCAATGTATATGTGCATCCCGTCGAATTTATGCGTGGATAAAGTAGGAAAATAATGATGGTTACGTGTCAACTAAGGGTGCGAGTGAATGTCACGTGTCCTCATACAAAAACTCGACTTTTGATAATGAGACCTGTTGGATGGTTGCTTTATCAATTTGCTTTACCTATTCATGTTCACATCCAACGGAGAGATTGATATATGGCACTATCTGGCAGATCGACATTAGAAACAGGAGGAGAGATCGACACAATGGGAAATAAAGACATCCCTTCACCAAGATCTGTGAACTAGGCTTTCTTTACGAGTTTGGGCCTGAGTTGGCATGGGCCCAATTTCACTGTGGGCTATGCGCATTTAAATATGGTGGGTTTGTTTATGATTTTTATGCATAGCAAGCTAAATCTCATGATATTATTAATTTGATAAATCATATATTTTGATAACAAATATAAAAAATATTTAACTTTTAAATATATTTATTACATAAACTTTAAATATATTTATTACATATTAGTTCAGTATTTATAATTTAAAAAATCTTAATAGGCTTGCGTTGAAGTCCAAATTTATAGGATTACTCATAACCACCTGCGTGAATGTTAGCGGATTGAACTTAATTTAGAGATTTTACCCGCTAAATATGCTAATTACCTTATTTGGTAGAAAAATTTATTTGATTAGTTTTTTTGGCCCAAGACACTGCTTCTAAAAAATATCAATATAAGAGCGATTTGAGAAGAGATGGTTTCGTAAAATAAAATATCAACATAAAATTTCCAAAATGATTATATAAAATAATCCATTATTTACCAAATGACTAATACAAAATTATTTACAAATAGTTAATATAATTTGCTATATTATTTACTGAACAATTAATACACAATTTGTACAATCATTTAGTTAAATCCGCTGTTAGCTATCCGGTACATGACTAATACAAAATTATTTACAAATAGTTAATATAATTTGCTATATTATTTACTAAACAACTAATACACAATTTGTCGTGTTATTTACATAACAATTAATACAATCTTTTAATTAAATCCGCTGTTAGCTATCCCGTACATGGTATCAGCTAATAGCCAATGATGCCTATAAATTGACACATCAATTTATCAAGTTGACACATGAATTCTGCATTGGGTGTTGCTAAATACCGCACCCTTTTTGCTAAATACCGCACCTCAATTTACATTTTTGCCCTTTTTTAAAAAAAAAATAAAAAATAAAATAAAAAATAAAATAAAAAAATAAAAAAATATGGACGCACATCACAAATAATTGTGTTGATACAAAACACATCAAAAGGGCAAAACATCAAAACACATCAAAAGGACATAAAAAAAAAAAAAAAA